AATGAGAAATACAAAAAAAGGACGGCATGATATAATTCACATATATGGCGCTTGGCTAAACAACATGGCATTGCATAATTCACATATATAATGCCTTGCAACAAGATAGCATTGCATAATTCCACATATATAATGTCTTGCAACAAGATGGCATTGCATAATTCACATATATGGTAATTAGACACTAAACAGGTGGCATTCACACAAAGCATGTCTAAACTAAGCAAATGACAATAGCAATGCAAGATACCATACGCATGATATGAGCAACATAACCCTGCCAAGTTAGAGCATGCACCTCGGGGGGGGGGATAGGACTAGTCATGTGTCTCTGAATCCTCCTCTGAGGAGCTATCCGTAACCAGCAAGACATGCATTTTGTCAGATAGCATTGTCTGCTCTAAAGACCTTGTTTCCAATCCAGATTTTTCCATGACCATGCCGAATGGCTGATGCACATGAAGAGTAATTGAATGTACTAAAATTGTTGACAAATTTAACACGTAATAATAAAATGATGGCATGATATAATTCACATATAAGATGACTGGCTAACCAGGGTGGCATTGCAAAATTCATATATATGATGCCTGGCTAAACAAGATAGCATTTTATGATTCACATATACGATAAAGAAACTAAATAGATGGCATTGACACAAAGCATGTCTAAACTAAGCAGATGCCATCTTTGATGTATACAGTAAGCAATGCAAGGCACCATATGCATGATATTACCAACATCAACATGTCAAGTTATAGCGAAGACCTCAGGGGGTAAATAGGAGTGGTCTTCTCCTTCTGAATCCCCCTCAGAACAGTTATCTTCCTCTTGATTACGATCCAAAATGGGTGGATGGGGGCTGCCTTTGCGCTCACCATGGAGCGATGTCTGCATGAAATTTTATTGCCACGCAAGGCTCGTCTCTTTTCCTCTACATGTCCAGTTCCATTGTGTACAATAACTGATATGCATAGGAATAAAACATAGTGAGATTATGTAAGGAGTGCATGCACAAATCCATAATGATGGTAGCAAACTATGGATAGACCCAAAACCAATGATAGCAGGCAGATAATAGCTTTAGTTAAAAAATACAGATAATGGCTCCTTTAATGTTTGTTTGCACCCAACATGAAACTCATAGTAGACACCCGAGATTAACCAGATAGTAGACAGATAGTACTGATTGCTGCCCCAATATGTACTCCACAACCATTTAAAAACTGAAGTTTCAGCATTAGTTTGGACCTGACTCAGAGTCTAATAGGTGAACACGATGATAAAGTAGCATGTCATCATATTAAGCGATGCATAACGTAAGCAGACATGGAAGAGTGCGACCTCTCTTGCGGACCCGTGTAGTCTTCAAGGTCATCTGCTCAGTTGATGATGGTAATGCAGTTGTCGTGGCTGTCGGCGGCGGGGAAGAAGATCTGAGGCGGTGAAAGACAGTCTGGAGAGCGGATCCCTGCTGTGGTGAACCCTTCCGTCGTTGGAGCAGCTGAGTTGGGGTGGAACACAGCGCCGCAGGAGCACGACAAACCACACAAGGTTTTCTTTGACACATATCTGTAACAGAAGTAATTGTGTAAGGGCTTGTTTGAATTTGAGGATTCTAACAATGCAGTGATATGAAAAAGACAGGAATAGGATAGGAATGCAGGTGCAAAACTGAGAATTTTCAACACATGATTTCTGCCAATCTGGGTGTTTGATTCACAAGAATTGGAAGATCACAGGATGCAAAGAACCATGGTGAGATTAAGTCAAACCACAAGAAAATGTACGGTTATAATGCTATTATGCTACTATCTATTAGTCTTGTGCTTCATGAATAGGAATTTGAAAAGGAGGACAAGTGGAAATTAAAATTCCTACGTTTTTTCTTTCAAGGAGACACTAAAGGAACAAATCCTACAGTTTTCCTTTGATCCATTCCTTTGAACCAAATTCATGAATAGTAGTACCATAGGAAACTTTCCAATTCCTATGTTTTTCCTTCATTTTTCCTTTCAAGCACTGGTGATTCTAGTAGGCAGGCTTGAGCAAGGAAAAGACTACACTAAAAAATGTTTTTGTGCTACTTTTGTTACTTGCTACCTTTATGCAATACCGTTCATGCTCACTTTTATTACTTGCTACCTTGCTGCTTTTTATATTTTCAGATTACAAAAACCTATATCTACTATCCATACTACACTTGTATCACCATCTCTTCGCTGAACTAGTGCACCTATACAATTTTCCATTATATTAGGTGTGTTGGGGACACAAGAGATTCTTTGTTATTTGGTTGCATGGGTGTTTGAGAGAGACCATCTTCATCCTACATCTCCGACGGATTGATAAACCTTAGGTCATTCACTTAAGAGAAAATTGCTACTGTCCTACAAAACTCTACGCTTGGAGTCCCAACACGAGTCTACAAGAAGAAGGTTGCGTAGTAGACATCAGTGCACACTCTCACCGGCGTAGTAGCTCAAGCACGACTTCAGAAAATTTATATCCATTGTGATTTTATTGCTCTCTTAAAACCCGAATCCCTAGTTCATAGTGGCGAGCTCGCATTTTGGCCCATAGTGGCCAGTATCCAGTAGGCGACAGTGACCTGGATGCAGAATAGAGCACAATCCACACGTGGGACCCAACATTTCTATGTCCTCTCCATCTATCTGGCCATGCACACGGGGCCTATTGGGTGGAAGATAAGAATGAACGTCCTTGTCGACGACAAGTGGAAGGTGACGTCAGTTGTTTACTATGCCCACAATCTGCAGGTGAAGGCTCAACATTTCATCACCCATTTTTCTCCGGTTGGTTCGATTTGGGGGGCTAAATTTTGCGTTCTTGATCATTAGGAGGGTAGCGAAGATCCGTTGGCAGATTTTGACTATGGCTTTCCCCAATACGAGTTTGACTAGGACTACGACGACACTGAGAGAACAGAGCCGAGAGGTGTGGGCATATCATGAAACCCACGCAGTGTGTGTGCAATGAAGGAAGCAACATGGGAGGAGATTTCTAGGTTGCCAACTTGTGGTATTGCAAAGATCGGTGTTTTGATCTGCATTATGTGATCTTTAGGGGTACAAGTTCTTATATGTGGTGGGTGGACAAGGAATGGGAGGGCACTTGTTTTTTTAACCCCCGCCCCCTCAAGGATCCTTGGATTGCCTTGCATACTTGCTCGAGGTAGAGTTACATAGCTCGGGCTGGGTATCGACTAAATCGAAGAGGGGATCCCATCCCTCGGTGCCCTGGTCTGCAACTTGGTCGCCTGCTCTTCGGGGAGTGGGCCCAGGTGCGGAAAGGTGTCTCCTACCCTATCACAAGCTTCCTGTAAGTGGGCCAGACAATGTTCCACCGGAGCACGTGGCTTCTTTGCTCCTCATAGTCGGGGTCGTTGCGTTGTTCCTTCGTCGACCAGTGCCCTTATAAAAAGTACCATTTTTGTGTTGTTTTTGTATGGATATACTTGTTTGACTGTTACTGCATCATATCGTAGATCATCCTTCCGTTGCAACTCATGTCACTTCCAGGTGGGACCAACCTAGGTGAGAAAAAGGGAGAAATTCAAAATTGAGTGTAAGGTGAAGCTAAAATCTCAAAAGATGCAGTCGATTATGCTTCCTTATAAGTGAGTGAGTGGGTTTCAAACATGATCCTGAGCTCACCCACACATATGTCTTGGTCTTTTTGCCTCCTTCTCTGATGGGCGAATAGGCCCATCAAATTTTGTTTCTTTGGTCTAGAGTCGACAGTGAGCTTTGCTTACGACGAGCCATCGACTAGTGCAAGAGGGAGATGGCAGCGATTTTTCCACCGACAGGGTGAGCTCATATGGGTTGGTTGATTTTACTACTACTCCCTCTGTTTTTAAATATTTGTCATTTTAGAGATTTCAAATGGACTACCACGTACGGATATATATAGACATATTTTAGAGTGTAGATTCGCTCATTTTGTTTTGTATGTAGTCACTTATTGAAATCTCTAGAAAGACAAATATTTAGGAACAAAGAGAGTAGTATATATGACCTTTGGTCTTTTTTGAAAGAAGAATTGAATTTTTGGGTGAACAAAGTTCTGAATAAAATATTCCTACAGATGAGACGAGTCGCCTTTTTTATTTCCCGCAAAAAGAAAAAAATAATCATTGTACACGGCGGGGCAGAGTCGCTGGGCGGCGGCGGCCTCGGATCTGGTCGATGCCGCGGCGGATCTGGGCGACAGCGGAGGGGAGGAGGCCTTGCAATCATCAATTCAGAGAGCACTAGTCCATTCAGAGAGCGGAGGGGAGGAGGCCTGGCAGTGGCAGGTGGTGGATCTGAGGTCCTCGACTCGGTGGTCGACCTCATCTTCATTCTCTGCCACCAATCATCAACTCGTCAGTGGTACTGCTTGTTCTATGGCCTTCGCTCACTGCTTCTTCTGCTCTAGCTTGCTTCTAGTATGTGTTTATCTACAAAATCTCTAGTTATTGGGGATAATATCAGCGATAGCAATCGAGGGTACACTTGAAATTTGTTACTGTATTTACTACTTTCTTTGTTTGTATGTATGTATGGTCATCTACGGATGCATATCTTGTGGACAAACATTGTATATTGTTATTGTTACACAAATTGTAACAAGGATCTTGCAACTTTCAGCAGTGTTTAAACTTTACACCCCTCCCCTCTCCTCTCCTCTCTACACGCAACAGATTTTCTTCCAATCTCTCATTGGCGACTGTCTGTGCAGAGGGAATCTTAGAAAAAAGAAGTGCCAATCGAATGAATTCATTGAGATGTTGATTCTTCTTTATCTAATCTCAAAAGTTAGGGTTCAATTCTTGGATTATCGTCTTTGGAGCACATGCCTTTGTATATATCTCAGATTATGCCATAGCCCATCTTCTTCTGCATCTGTGAAGCGGATGGGAATCTGAAACTAATCCCCCAAAAAATGTGCTTACAGGCTCAAGTTGACTTCAGCTTTTATCATCTTTTTTGCAGGTCAACTTGTGGTTTTCCAGACACAAGCAACTCCTGCAGCGAATAACCACGCCCCACAAGATGAAGAAGGTGGTGAAGAAAATAGACGAAATTAAAAAGGAGGGCAGTAGGGATCTCAAACTTGTGCCTCACTCAGCAAGGGGACAAGTGAGCAGAAACAATGAAACTTTTGCAGCCAACTGGAATGGTGATGGCACCAAAACTGGAATGGTGGGGAGGGGCGTCGAGAAGGAGAAGATAATCAACCTGCTACTCCCAAGTGAAGAAGCTAACCAGCAGGATATCCCCATCATTCCTGTTGTTGGCCTTGGTGGCGTAGGCAAGACAACATTGGTTGAATCAGTTCTTGCAGACAAGAGGGTCACTGTCTTTGATGCCTCAGTCTGGGTTCATGTGTCCAAGGAGTTTGATTTGCAAAAAATTGGGAGTACAATCCTGAAAAGAATGATGAATAGCAACATCGACCTAGACAACTGTAATCTGCAGTTTCTGTATGATAATCTGAGCAAAGAACTTGCTACTAGAAGATACCTGATTGTTCTGGATGATCTCTGGGAAGAAGATGGAGATAAACTTGAAAGTTTGAAGCGGATGTTGCAGCATGGCCTCAAGGGTAGCAGGATTATAGTAACTACTCGAAGCCGAAGTGTAGTGCAAAAACTGCGCACTGGCTCTCTTGCAAATAAGAGGAAAATTTGCTCAGTTCCTGATTCTGACATACTAGAGTTGGGTGTTTTAGAACCTGGTGAGTGTTGGGAATTAATGAAGTAAAGGGTATTTGGGCCTGATGATGACCACAATGGCTTGGAAGAAATCGGAAAGCAGATTGCAGCCAAGTGTGGGGGTTTACCGCTCGTGGCCAATGCTCTTGGGCAAGTAATGTCGGAGCAGAGGACCGTGGGGGCATGGGAACATATAAGAGATACTAAGTTTGATTTGGGTTTGAGAGAAGGACATCAGAAAGAAACATTAGAGAGGCTAGTGTTGAGCTATTACCACATGAAGCCAAAATTCAAACTGTGTTTCATATACTTGGCAACCTTCCCCAAGGGCTTTGTCATGGACAACAGACATATAATCCAGCAATGGAATGCACTTGGATACATCAATTCAAGGCATGATGGTCAATGCTGCATCAACTACCTTTTGGGCATGTCCTTTCTACGAATTCCAGGATCTGCTTCGGTTAGTACCCATAGACACCATTTCTCTTGTATGGCTGGTTCATTTTTACCATTATGTTTTTCTTCACTAGTTAGTAAACAAGTCAAACTTGGTATCCAGAGAAATTGTAAAATTCAGAAAACATTTCTAGACAAGCACTTATGTATGAAAATTCCTCATATACAGCATATGCATTATTACCTTTACATGCTCTCTTTTTTTTCGATCAGAGGGGCCCCATGGCCCCCATTTTCATTACGAAAATGGAGTCACAACATACAAAGCAAGTTCCATACAAATTTAACATTTTTCGATGCCTAACATCTGCATCAGGAAACACTATTCATACATCTAGAGGCACTTCAACCGCACCTACAGGATGCTACAACAGAAGAACGCTCCAAAGCATCATCGCTACAAATGTTGCCTAATATTTTGCATCAGGGAAATAAACTCCTACATCTGAGATACCAAAATCTGCACCTACAGGGTGCTATATCAAAAGAACAAGAGAGATAATCGTAAATGATGCATCTGTCAACACTTGATCAACAGAGCCTCCGTACAGCTGGGCCCCACCCGTAAGCACGCTTGAAGACGTCCCTCGCTATCTGGGCCAACCTCTTGGTCACTTCCTTAAGAGTTTTTTCCACCCCTCTTTTCTGTAGCACACCCCAGGAATCCAACATATAACATAAAGAGACGATAATATCAGTAGGATCCCTAGGTAAAGAACTTTGAAAGCAGGATTTATTTCTTGCTTTCCAGATCGACCATAACAAAGCAGTCGTACCAATAGCTATAACCATTCTATCTTTCCCAGTATACTTAGGAAGCCAATTCTGGCAAAGGTCAAAGAATGACAGGGGTGTTTGGGGATTTCCCAAAGCACTCCCAACTACATTCCAAAGAAACCGAGCAAGAGAACAAGTGAAAAACAGATGATCAATATATTCATTGGCATCACAAAATTCACATTTGTTGGTGCCTTTCCAGCCTTTTTTACACAAGTTGTCCTTGGTTAGGATCCTTCCTTTGATAACTAACCATATAAAAGCTTTAATTTTCAAAGGTACCTTCAGTTTCCAAAGAAACTTAAAAGGGAACACTACTCTCTTTGCAATAATATATTGATAAAGAGATTTAACAGAGAACTGACCAGAGCTAGTCAAAAGCCAGTTGACTTTGTCAGGTTCCTCACTCAGAACAACCTGACTGCACATATCCAGAAGCTTATTCCACATATCCAGTGTCTCCCCATATAAACATCTCCTAAATCTAATGCAGTTAAAATCATGTTCAAATGCTTTAGCAACCGTAATGTTTTGATGAAAAGTAAGCTTGTACAAGCGAGGAAAAAGTTGACAGAGAGGCTTGTTGTGGATCCAAGCATCTTCCCAAAATCTAGTTTTATGCCCATCCCCAACAATTCTCTGACAACAGTTGTAAAAGATATCTTTAACACTCATGATACCATTCCAGAAATGAGAGTTGGCAGGAGATGACTCACATTGAGACAGAGTTTTCCTCTTCAAATATTTTGCTCTAATCATCTCCTGCCAATCCCCATCTTCATTCTCAAGTCTCCAGAGCCACTTACACAAAAGACTAATATTCTTGATATCTAGATTAGTAACACCCAACCCCCCTTGGTCTCTAGGTTGACAAACGTCAAGCCAGTTAACTAGATGATACTTCCTAACCCCCTCTCTTTCTTGCCAAAGCACCCGCGCTCGAAAGAAATTGATTCTTTTCCCTACTCCTTTTGGTAGACGGAAAAAGTTAAGTAAATGGCTAATGATGTTACTCAAGCAAGTTTCAGTGCGTATAAGCCTACCGCCCATAGATAAAAGACCCCCTTGCCACGCTGCAGCTCCTTTCTCTACTTTTTCTTCCGCTGATTTCCAATCCGCATTACAAAGTTTTTTATAATGAAGGGGAAGACCTAAATACCTAAAAGGGAAGCCCCCAATAGCGCAAGTAAAAATGCCGGCATAATCAGCTTGTTTCTCCAAAGCTTTACCGAAACAGAAAATTTCACTCTTTAAAAAATTAATCTTCAGACCGGTCAAATGCTCAAAAACACATAGAATAATTTTGAGGTTCCTAGCCCCCTCAAGGTCATCTTCAAAACAGAAAATAGTATCGTCCGCATATTGCAAAATATTTAGACCTCCTGCATACACCCTAGGCAACACTCCCTTGATAAATCCTTGTTCTTGCGCCCTTTGCACCAGGGTAGCAAGAACATCAGCTGCCAAATTGAAAAGCAAGGGGGAAAACGGGTCCCCTTGCCTCAAACCCTTCCTAGTAACAAAATACGGGCCGATAACATCATTAATAGTGATGGCAACCTTTCCATTACTAACGACATCTTTTGTCCATTGGACAAAACGTTCAGGGAAGCCTTTCATCTTTAGGACATCAAGCATGAAACTCCAATTAATTTTATCGTAAGCTTTTTCGAAATCAACCTTAAAAAGCACAGCAGAACATTTTTTTCTATGTAAAGAGTGGATAGCTTCATGAAGCATAAGTACATTGTCCAGGATGTAGCGCCCTTTTATAAACGCAGATTGAGCTTTGGAAATTGTTTTATCCGCAATTTTCATAGCTCTATTGTTAAGAACTTTTGTAAAAATTTTAAAAGGAACGTTCAGCATACAGATGGGGCGGTACATTTGAATCCTATCAGCCCCCTGCCCCTTAGCAAGCAAAGTGACTACCCCATAGTTAAGCCTTGAAATGTTAATCTTGCCCTCATAAAAGTCATGAAAAAGCCTAAGGAGATCGTTACAAATGAGGTTCCAGAAAAATTGAAAGAACTCGGCAGGAAAGCCGTCCGGGCCAGCCGCACTGTTGCGCTTCATAGAAAATAACGCATTTTTAACTTCATCCATAGTAAATTTGCAACTGAGCTCAACCTTATCCTCTTCTGATAACACATCATCAAGAGGGATACACAGAGATATAGGAGGTAAATCTACATGGCCAAATAAATCTTTATAAAAATTAGTTGCATATTTGAGCAAGTTATCATCCCCCTGGATGATCCCTTCATCCTGGATAAGTCGAAAGATTTTACTCTTACGCTTCCGACCACTAGCCTTAATCATAAAATACTTAGTGTTGCTATCCCCTTCTTTGATATCCCTCTCCTTCGAGCGTTGATACCATTTTATTTCTTCCTCTCTAAGAATTTTATTCAAATCATTTTGCAGACTATTTATATGCACATAGTCAGCTGCTGATACACCAGCAAGCTCACACTTCTTATCAAGTATATCTAAAGCATTAATAATAAAACTCTTCTTTTTCCTGTAACTACCCTCAACATTAAGGTTCCAACCCTTGAGCCCGCTTCTTAATTTTCTCATAACAGCCTGCCACCAATCCAGGCTGTTTTTTTTAGGAGCGATAGATTTCCAAATTCTAGAAACAACGGCCGGCAACTCATCTCTGAGAAGCCAGCATAGCTCAAATTTAAAAGGCCTGGTAGCTACAGCATTTACAATTCCAGTATGTACCAAAAGAGCAGCATGATCAGAGACACCTCTAACGAGTGTCCTGACCGTAACTAAAGGAAAATGTTGTTCCCAAGATGGGCTAACAAGAATCCTATCTAGTTTTACATACAAGGGATCGTCCTGGTTATTAGACCAAGTAAAGCTCCTCCCTGAGAGCTCTAACTCTTTTAGCCCCCAATGCTCAATGATGGAATTAAAGTAAAAAGACCAAACAGGGAGTTTTTTAGCTCTACTTCTCTCATTGATCCTCCTAATGATATTGAAATCACCACCAACAACAAGGGGTAATTTATCATGCCCTAACATATGAACAAAATCGATCAGAAAGTCCTTCTTGTCTTTGGTATGAGAAGCCCCGTACACATTGATCAAAGTCCACTTGAAACCCGATCTCTTATCCATAATGATCATTCTGGTAAAAAACCTAGTAGCAGTGCACGTGTCGACCTCAAACAGATCCTCTCTGACACCCATGAGGAGCCCACCCGAGGCTCCTATAGAGGGATGCCAAAGCCAGATGAAAGTAAATCTACCACCGATACTAGCTAACCATGGATCAGAAAAATCAGTTTTCTTAGTCTCCTGAATACAAATGAACTCTAAAGCATGCTCAGAAATGATTTCTTTAAGAAACCTTCTTTTTTCAGGTTCACCCAGCCCCCTAGCATTCCAGAAAACACCAGCCATAAAACAAATTACTTTTTTTTGGTACCACACTTGACCTTTGGCTTGACGCTGACTCCTCCAGCGCAAGTCTGCTTTAGTTTAGATTTATATAACGATGATAAAAGAATTAATTCATCTCTAAGCTCTTCATCGTCCTCAGATTCACATTCTGAGTCAGATACAAGGTTCCTAATGTTATCAGGGTCAAAACTTCCCAGTTTTGACTCCTCATCACTACCTTCCACATTAGTCTTCTTCCTCATATTTGCAAGAAATAAATCACTCCTAGTTTTTTCTAAGCTCTTGATCATAGAAATAGTGCTATCTATTTCCTCAGGAGTATTGCCTAAGCTAACACCAATGCATTGCGTAATGTGCGAAATAAAACTAGGTACTGTATTTAAAACAGTAGGTATATTGGGAGCAGTATTTAAATCTGTAGGAGCCATACCTGGGGTCTCCAGATTCTTCCTCCTCGCCATGTCAGTAGCTTTGTCCATAGTCTGCACCTCCTCTTTGTGTTTGTTCCTGACACTTCTTCTCCTCGCCGCCTCATCTAGAGCTGCCTTTTCTTTAGCCTTTTGAACCCTAACTTCAGCTTCCCTCAACTTTTGTTGCTTGGTAATATCAGCCTCCCCAAGATTTTGCAAAGGATTCAACACCACCCCTTGTACCCTGTTAGAGAAGGAGTTCTGCTTCGTCGCAACAACTCTTCCAGGAGGTGAAATAGCACCGGCTGTTTTAACCATGTCAGGGGTTAGGTTCTCCTTGTCATGCCTTAGGTTGCAATTTTCCTCAGCCGACAGCTCCTCTTCCACTTCAGCCTCAATCTCTTTAATTCTCTGAGTGCTAATCCCGAGCCTTCTGGCAAAATCTTCAGGATCCTGAGTGCAGTCATACTCTTCCTCTTGCTGGCTACCAACCCTTTCTGTAAAGTTCTCCATCATTTCAGCGTCCTTAGCAAAGTCTGCATTAATCTGCTCTACACCAGACCCCGCCTTGTCAGTCAAATGCTTCTTGTCTAGCAGTTTTTGTCTCACTTCCCTTTCAGCTATCCAATTCTTATCTAACTCGTATTGACTGGATATAACCTCATCAGAATTCTCAGCTACCGCATTTCCTCCGATACCAACAGCATCACTGTCTTGCCTTGGAGATTTACTGCATATCAGCTCATCCTTGTCGTTTCTGTCCCTAGGTCTCTTATCAGTAGTTTGTTGTGTAGGAGCCGAAGGCCTGGGGTAGCTGACCAAAACACCCCCCTCCAACGGGCCTCCCTCCTCCACAATATCCTCTAGCTCAAAGAAAATGTTATATACCAAGCCACTTTCATTCAGGGGAGCACTAGCTGGAATTTTCCTGGGATCCATAACTCCAATTTTTGCTCTCACCACCCCACATTGTCTATACAACTCCATGTCCAGTTCTAAAACATTCCCTATCAGAGAACCAGCCTCACAGAAGCCTTGATAGTGTTCAAGTGGTTCAGGCACTCCATCAATTCTAACCCAGCAGACATACAGCTTGTAAGATGCAATTGATGAATTAGTCCACCTGTCAACTTTGATTGTTGCTTTAGTACCGATCAGTCCAAAGTAGTGGTATCCCTTCATTTCATCAATTTTTTGCATCGATGGAAATTTCACAAGAAAGTTGTCCTTAAGATATGGCTTTGCTTGCCATTCCCATCCCCACTGGAACATCATGCTGAAAGAATTAACTAGGTGCAAGGCAGTAAGTGATTCACCTTTTACAGAGACAATAGCAATAGCCTGTTTAGCTTTATCCTGGTCAGGTTTTTTCCCAGACCTAGCAGAGAACATTTGAAGTCCATCAGCAGCGCTACCAATCAGACACGCCACAGGTTTGGGCTGATACAGGAGGGCACATTTCTTGGACAGATGAGCATCCTTTTTCCCGCAGTTAACACACCAGAGAGAAGTAGTGCATCCTTTAACGGCATGTCCAGCGATTTCGCATCTGTAGCACACCATTTGGGCCCTTTGTTCTGTAACAGTAGCAGCATCACTAGCACCAGACTTGCTTGAATTACCAACATCAGGCATAATTGTTATCCCAATTTTAGTTATCCCAATTTTACATGCTCTCCTAGTTATCCCAATTTTAGTGGCATAAAAACAATTTATGAAAACCCATGGTTTTCTAGTAAAAAATGTGTGAAGGATATTTGTTCTGTATAAAGACTCCACACTTCTTGAGGAAATTGCAGTTTTAGTGTCTTCTCTTGACTCCTCTTTAACATTTCGTATTCTCAAGGGGCTTTACATTTCTCTTTGCAGGTTAGTCCAAGTTCATTGCATTTCAAAGCTCCTCAAGAACTTGTCATGCATGATTTGGTGCATGATCTTGTATCAGTAATTGGTGCTGATGAATTCATTGATCTGGATGCTACCAAAAGCACCAGCTGGAACAGAGCTCGTTACTGCCGACATGCACAGTTAACCAACTTCAAGAATGACCCCGAGGCTTTCAAACATATTCCAGGCAAGCTTAGATCCCTCCACTTTAGGGATTTGGGGGGACTGCAACTCCCAAAAAAGGCATTCTCTCGGTCCAAGTACATACGTGTCTTGGACCTAAGTGGACATTCAGCTGAATGTCAATCTGCTCCAAGTAGAGTGGTGCTGCCATCTTCCATTAATCAGTTGAAGCTAATTAGGTACCTTGATGGCACAGGCTTGCCTATAAAGTCACTTCCTAAGAATTTTCATGCACTTCAAAACATGGAAACTCTTATTCTGTCCAATTCCTTATTTGAAATCTTGTCTGACAGTATTTGTCGCCTCACCAAACTTTGCTATTTGGACCTATCTGGCAGTAGCGGCCTCAGTAAGCTGCCTGCATCACTAGGGGAGCTCTCTCAACTATTTTTCCTTAATCTATCCGGTTGTTCTATACTCCAAGAGTTGCCTGAATCAATCTGTGAGCTTACGTGCTTACATCACCTGGACATGTCAGATTGCTGTGCTCTTCAAAAGCTGCCTGATAAATTTGGTGGCCTTCTTAAACTATCATTCTTAAACTTGTCAGGATGTTCGAAGCTCACCAAACTACCTGACAATGTAAGCTTTCCGTGTTTAGAGCATCTGAACCTATCTAGTTGTCACGAGCTAGAAAACCTGCCAATTGATTTCGGCCACCTTCAGAAGCTTGAGTTCATGGACCTCTCTGGTTGCTACAAGGTTCCGCTGCTACCAGTATCATTTTGCCAACTTAATCATTTAAAACACCTAGATCTTTCGGATTGTCATAATCTCAAAGAACTCCCTGACTGTTTTGGTCACCTCTTCGAGCTTGAATATTTGAACCTAACAAGTTGTGCTAAGCTTCGACTATTGCCTGAGTCAATATGCAAGTTGTTTAAGCTGAGGCGTGTCTATCTGTCATACTGTCTGAAGCTCAGTGAGCTCCCCTCCTCATTTGGTGACCTTGAGCTTCACATACTGCACATGAATTGCCTTAGAGATATGAATGACTGCCCTGACAGCATCGGTGACATGACTAGTCTAACCCAGTTTGTGACTTATAATGCAACTTCTGGTTTGCTTGATAAGGCTAGAGAAATTCGAAGGCGCCTAAATCTTGTGGGAAATGTACATGAGGTAAAGAGTGGAGAATGCAGTATAGTGGATCTTGTGGGATTGGCTTGTTCAGATCTGAAACTTGAAGGCCTTCAGAATGTCGAGCATCCAGGTGCAGACAGTCTCAAACTGCGTGATAAATCAGACATTCGAGTGTTACAACTTTGCTGGGAAGATGAAGGAGGTGAATCTGTGCTGGACAGGCTCGTTCCTCCTCGGACTCTTGAAGACTTTTCGCTAATCGGGTATAGGAGCAGTGAATTCCCTGACTGGATGTTTGACATCTCGTCATATCTCCCTTTTCTCAGTGAACTGAATCTTAAAGGTTTGGAAGCATGTGATCATCTTCCTCCATTTGGGGCACTGCCAAATTTAAGAAGGTTGTCTCTGCATAACATTCCCAACATCAGAAAAATCGGTAAGAAATTCTATGGAGAGGGCGGACCTTGTCTGAAACTAAGAGTACTGATGTTGAACTCGATGGAGAATTTGGAAGAATGGTGGACAACAGAGTCAACTAAAGAAAACGAAGAGTTTCTAATTCCCAATTTGCATTATTTGGAGGTAGTGAACTGCCAAAAGCTGAAGTTCCTACCATATCCCCCAAGAAGTATGTTTTGGTTTTTGAGCAACAGCGAGAGAGTTTTGCCAGAACGTGGATCTGGAAAGCTCTCGTCTTCCATTCCTCCTTCTGAGATGGTTCTAGGGAACTGTAGTTTCTCTGAAGACAAGTGGGATAGACTTCAACACTTCCCCACCCTTGAGATATTTCAGTTAACATCCATCAGTGGCTTGAGGACTTTGCCAGAGGTCATGCGATGCTTCAGCTCTCTCACTGCACTACATTTATCTAAGTTGAAGGACCTAGGGGCACTGCCAGTATGGCTGGGCCTCCTTGAATCTGTACAAAAAATTGTAATCCTAGATTGCCCGAGCATGACATCCTTACCTGAAAGCATGAAGAACCTCACCGCTCTTAAAATATTGATATTATCAGAGTGCAAAGGCCTGGAGACATTACCTGAATGGTTGGGACAGTTGACTTCTCTAGAACATCTTGAGATCATGGATTGCCCCAACCTGACATCTTTGCCTGAAAGCATGAAGAACCTTCCTGCTCTTAAAATACTGAAGTTATTAGATTGCGAAGACCTGGAGACATTACCTGAATGGTTGGGACAACTGACTTCTCTAGAAGAACTTAAGATCGGATGTCCCAACCTGACACCTTTACCTGAAAGCATGATGAACCTCACCGCTCTTAAAACACTCTGGTTTGGGTTGGAAGACCTGGAGACATTACCTGAATGGTTGGGACGGTTGACTTCTCTAGAAACACTTGTGATTGGCGGTTGCCCCAACCCGACCTGTTTGCCTGAAAGCATGAAGAAACTCACAGCTCTTAAAAACCTGGTATTGGTACAGTTCAAAGGCCTGGAGACATTACCTGAATGGTTGGGACAGTTGACTTCTCTAGATCAACTTTTAATCGAAGATTGCCCCAACCTGACATATTTGCCTGAAAGCTTATGGAGTCTCTCTGCTTTGAAGCTACTCAAAATTGTTGGATGTCCAAGTCTGGCTGAAAGGTGCCAAGGGGAGGATGCCCGCAAGATTTGTAACATCCCCAATATCGAATTCAGCTGAGCTGTTGTACGTAGTCCATACTTGTGTTTTGAAGAGCTCAATCTCTGAGGGCATCGTCGCTGAACATCTTTGCTGCCGGTGCCTACATACTCCATACTTGTGTTGGAGGCTGTCCTGTTGGTCCCAGCTGCTGCAGAGGAGGTAAGCGGTATTACCACTTTTTTTCTTCTTTCAATACAATTTTTTTTATAAGATACATGCAGCCTTAGTCGTAGCTAATCTTGTCAACTGTAAGAAATATAGAAGTTTGCATAAAGAAGTAATTAAAGGGACATGTCTTTCATGGTTGGCTGCACAACAGACTTGGAATGACTATCAGTGCAACTTGTTATTGATTGTCTTCACTGTTTCTACTGCTTACTTCACTTGAAAAAAAAATGTCTCTTCATGCACACAAATTTCATCATGCCATAACATCCAGCTGACATTTACATGGCTTTGTCAGTCATACGCGCAGGCTTGCGTCACGGTTTTGCACAAGATGGATTTCACAATGCGAAAAACGAGGCAGAGCTCAAGGAAGAGGGCCAGTTCTCTCAAGGGAGCAGTTTCTTTGAGACAAAGCTCGCTGGGATTCTCAAGGAACATATTTTGATGGCGGAAGAACTTAGGAGTAACTGAATAATGTTGTTCTATTCTAGTGCTTCTCAATAATCACTGGTGTGGTTGAGAAAGGAATTGAACGCCATGGTTCTTCTGCCTGAGGAGAGCTCCGAGTCTTCTATATATTCCCTGTCAGCTCCGAGGCCACGACAACGTACGTAAGGTTATTCCTCGTCTGCTCCATTCTGTCATTTATGTAATTTGCCGTTTGTGCCACTGCTCTTACTCTGTATGCCTGCTAATGTGGCTACTGTCTTCCATAGAGGAGAGGAGCGCACATCTTGTGCCTGGCTGTGCAGACTGCAAAATACTATCGGGTGTGCAGTGTGCTGGCTCTCCAAGATTTTGTCGTGCTGAATTGGGAGCAGTATGTCATCTAGTTTTGTAATACTATCGGGTGTGCAGTGTGCATAAGATTGTCGATGTTTCATGAGGTGTTTATTTTCATGCAGCAGGCCGCAGGAATAGGACAGCTCTGTGTGTTTTTGTTTGTTTGTTTGTTCCCATTTAGAATCCCGCGCATGCGTGCAGCTGCTCAATTCTTGGTACAGGTCCTTGTTTTTGGTTCATGAGCGGTATTCATTCTGTTTTTGGTTCAATCTTCCATTATGGATTGGTAATGGCATGTCCTTGTATTTGCGCCTCTTTTGTTTGAGATGACATTATGGATCAATACAGGGCTTTCCACCTCTTTGTCTTTTCAAATTATGTTCAAGCAGCAGCTAATTTTCCTTGTGAGCTGTTTGCTGGGCGTGCTGATCTATATTAGGTTTGCTGTACTAGTATAATTAACATGAGAGACACGGTTTTCTTTTTCTTTTTCTTTCTTCCGCGAGAGACACGGTTTTGCTTCCGCTAGAGGCATGATTTGCTTCCACTAGAGGCACGGTCGTGCCTCTAAAAATGAAAATGCGTTTTCTTTTATTTCCCTTCCGCGAGAGGCACACTTTTGCTTTTGCAAGTGCCTCTCGGAAATGAAAAAAAAAATGCCGTGCCTCTCGAAAACTGAAAAAAAATGCGTCTTTTCCTTTCGTGCGTGGCACGATTTTGCTTCCATGAGAGGCACGAGTTTGCTTGCACGAGAGGCATGGCCATGCCTCTCGAAAATTGAAAAAAATGTGTTTTTTCTTTTCGCGAGTGGCACGATTTTGCTTACACGAGAGGCACGATTTTGCTTTCGCGAGAGGCATGGCCGTGCCTCTTTCAGAAAGGGAAAAAAGTGCTCCCGATTTGTTTCTCGTCTGTTTTTTTATGAAAAAAGTTTGCCTAACCTTATCAACAAGAGACCTAGTTTTGAAGATCTCGATGCGAGGAATCCAATGATGAAAACGGTTCAAGATTCGGACACACTGTTTAAGAGATAAAATATTTTGAATAAACGAATCTACGAAAAAAGGGAAAACTCTCAGGT